CCATGTTCTTCAAGAACAGCTGTGACGATGACCCGTCGAGTCTCTAAAATCAGTCCCCATAACCTCAGCTGACCTCTCATCCTTGAATTTCACTGACCAGCAGATCCCTGCAGCAAACACTGGTTTTACTGGCCCCTTTTTCAAAGACACCCTAACAAGACTAAGTAAGACCACGTCACTGAAAGAAACTTGGCTTCAGCCATCCGTGATCACTGAGACTGTCTCCCTTACCTTTGTTTCAGTGTGCTTTATGCACCGAACATTAGTCCAGTCCTTTTATCATATGTTGATTTGGCCCTGGGACACCCGGAAGCTCCTTGATCTGTTCTCTGAAAAGTGTTAAGTGTCAGCAGATGAGGAAACACAGTCACCATCATTTACCATCTCAGCCCAACCGGCTCCTCTATGCTTTTGAACATAGATTTAAGTTTATAAATAATTTGCAGATATAAGAATAAACATAATTTAAAAAATCATTTGAAATCTCAATAGGAATTTAAACATAGCAACCCCAGATATTTTGTACACACTAGTATAGTAAGAGGCTTACAAAGCTTATGTAGGAAAAAATTCCATTGCCTTGTAAACCCATATTTCCACCAACTTTTTTTTTCCGGCCCCAGCTCCTGCCAGCAGCCCAGGCTCTGTCCACCAACTTTTTAAAGCCTCCTCGGCTGGCTCTCTCCACCAACTTTTTAAAAAAATTATTTTATTGGGGGCTCATACAATTCTCATCACAATCCATACATCCATCCATTGTGTCAAGCACATATGCACATTTGTTGCCCTCATCATTCTCAAAACATTTGCTTCCCACTCTAGCCCCTAATATCAGTTGCTGATTTTCCCCTCCCTCCCCCCTCTCCCCTCCCTCATGAACCCTTCATAGTTCATAAATTATTATAGTTTTGTCATAAGTTGTCCTGTCCGGTGTTTCCCTCCGCCCTCTTCTCTGCTGTCCATCCCCCAGGGAGGAGGCAATACTTAGATTCTTGTAATTGGTTCTCCACCAACTTTTTAAAGCCTCCTCAGATACGCCTACACATTGACAATCTCTCTGAGTGCCGCCTTCCTCTTAAGAGTGAACCTGGTGAATTCTGATTCCAGAATCAGATCTGTCCTGAGAGGATCTCACTTATCACGACTGCTTGTGTTCCACTCCTCATTCACCATCGATTTCCAATTTCAGCAGTTCTCAAAAGATCTTCCATTCAACGATTTTGCCCATCAGCTTCAGTTTATTCCCCATATCCAGCTTCTTGGCTTCCCGGGTAGTACTTGGCTGCATCGCTGAACATTTTGACCAAAGGTTCTACGGAAGAATACTGATGAAAAGGAGGAAAGGCAGGGCAGAATCTCTAATCCTCATGGATTCTAGACAATCTATAGGGCCACGAGAGGTAGATGAACTCCTACAATTATTGGCATGAGGTCATTTTTAAACCTTAGACCAAAAACATACCCTGAAGTCTTTTATAAACCAAACAGTTGTAAGGAGGAACTCCCCCCAAAACTAGAATGATGTTGGGTGGAGCGGAGCTTTCGGAGCAAGCACTTTTCCTGCTAGGCGAGCACTGAGTAACTCGCTGGGTTAGTGCACCCAGCGGCGTTGCCTGGGAGGGTTCTCTCTGGTCACAGTGAATGTTTTCATAAAAAAGTTTCACTTGAATCTCGATTTCTGTGATGGCCAATTTAAAAGAAGAGCGTGTGGTGTAAAACGTGTTTCCTGGTTGGGAAAAGTGCCACGGAAACTGTTGTGATGGTGAACACAGCGTTCAAGGCAGCACTACGGGGAAAACTCAAATGTGAGTGGTTTTCTCATTTTTTGAAAGAGGTGGAAGGTCAATTGATAACAAACCTCACTCTGGACATCCATCAACTTCCCAAATGGATGAAAATGTCGACTCATAGTACATTTGGAGTTCGTTTCACAGTTCCTTTCAGACTGTTCATCAAGCTTTCTATTTAGAGGTTCTGAAAAGATTGTATAACAGTGTGTGGCAAAAAAGGCCCGATTTGTGGTAGATGGGGGACTGGTTTTGCTACCAGGACAATACACCTGCTTACATAGCCATCTCGGTGTGCCACTTTTTGACAAAAACAGTATACCTCTCTTGTGCCATGCACCTGACTCACCTGACCTTGCTCTGTGTGACTTCTTTTTGTTTCCTCGAATAAAGTGGGCCATGAAAGGACAGCAATTTGATGATGTAGATGAAGCGAAGAAAAAAACGAGGGAGGTGCTATCAGCCATCCAAACAGAGGAGTTTAAAAAATGTTTCCAAGAATGGAATTGCAGATTCGACAAATGTATTAAGTATAATGGAGAGTACTTTGAAGATAATAAGGTTGTTTTGTAAAAAAATTAAATTCATAGCTTTTATGGAAAAAAATTCAGGTTTGGGGGTACCCCCTCGTATTTAGCTTAACTAGTGAAAAAAGGTCTATCTTGAGCATTACATTCTTTTAAGAACTTTCTATATGGGACCAAGGTGATCACAGCAATTTGAAAGACGAGACAGGCCCGGCAGAGGGCAGCGAGTTTCAGAACAACTGGGAAAAGGCCGATGAGAGAGGCCTACAGCCTGAAGAATCAGAGCAACCGGGACAAGGCCGATGAGAGAGGCCTACAGCCTGAAGAATCAGAGCAGCCGGGACAAGGCCGATGAGAGGCCACAGCCTGAAGAATCAGAGCAGCCGGGACAAGGCCGATGAGAGGCCACAGCCTGAAGAATGTAGTCAGTGCTCCTCGGTGGCACAGGCAGAAACCGTCTCAGCCAGGATGGGATTTAAAACCGTCACACGTCCTTTTAGCATAGCATGACGAACCATGTTCGTACTGCAAGTTCACACATGATGGTCTCCTTCCTCTTGAATATGAAAATGCTATTTTTTTAAAGATCATTTTATTGGGGACTCTTACAGCTCTTATAACAATCCATACATCAATTGTATCAGGCATATTTGTACATATGTTGCCATCATTTTCTAAACGTTCACTTTCTATTTGAGCCCTTGGTATCAGCTCATCTTTGTTCCCTCCCTCCCCCTCCTCTCACCTTTGTGACCCCTTGATAAAGAGAATACTATTTTTTAACTTAAAGAATATATTGTTCACTCATGAGTTCTTGATTGAGCTTGAGAAAATTTACATCATCCTAAGTGATTTCATCATTCTTCTTTTTTCTTAATCTTCATTTGAGGGGGGGCAGAATTGTTAATAATTCAAGATTGAAAAAGGAAATGAGATTCTATCATGCACCTTAGATTTATAAA